ATATTTATATATAGATAGATAGATAGATAGATAGATAGATAGATAGATAGATAGATAGATAGATAGATAGATAGATAGATAGATAGATGATAGATAGATAGATAGATAGACATATTTATATATATATATATAGATAGATAGACAGATAGATAGATAGATAGATAGATAGATAGATAGATAGATAGATAGATAGATAGATAGACAGACAGACAGACAGACAGACAGACAGACAGACAGACAGACAGACAGACAGATAGATAGATAGATAGATAGATAGATAGATAGATAGATAGATAGATAGATAGATAGATAGATAGATAGATAGATAGATAGATAGATAGATAGATAGATAGATAGATAGACATATTTATATATAGATAGATAGATAGATAGATAGATAGATAGATAGATAGATAGATAGATAGATAGATAGATAGATGATAGATAGATAGATAGATAGACATATTTATATATATATATATAGATAGATAGACAGATAGATAGATAGACAGATAGATAGATAGATAGATAGATAGATAGATAGATAGATAGATAGACAGACAGACAGACAGACAGACAGACAGACAGACAGACAGACAGACAGACAGACAGACAGACAGACAGACAGACAGACAGACAGACAGATAGATAGATAGATAGATAGATAGATAGATAGATAGATAGATAGCCAGATAGATAGATAGATAGACAGACAGACAGATATATAGATAGATAGATAGATAGATAGATAGATAGATAGATAGATAGATAGATAGACAGACAGACAGACAGACAGACAGACAGACAGACAGACAGACAGACAGACAGACAGACAGACAGACAGACAGACAGACAGACAGACAGACAGACAGATAGATAGATAGATAGATAGATAGACATATTTATATATAGATAGATAGATAGATAGATAGATAGATAGATAGATAGATAGATAGATAGATAGATAGATAGATAGATGATAGATAGATAGATAGACATATTTATATATATATATATAGATAGATAGACAGATAGATAGATAGACAGACAGATAGATAGATAGATAGATAGATAGATAGATAGATAGATAGATAGATAGATAGATAGATAGATAGATAGACAGACAGACAGACAGACAGACAGACAGACAGACAGACAGACAGACAGACAGACAGACAGACAGACAGACAGACAGACAGACAGACAGATAGATAGATAGATAGATAGATGATAGATAGATAGAAACAGCCATGCTGCTCTCTGCAGAGGTGTGAAAAAAGAGGAAAAGATCAAGAGTAAAAAGCATAAAAAATATTTGATGCTCAGAAGGATGGACAGCACCCTGAAGCTTAGAGTTCACTGAAGATGCTGAAGCTACCATGCTGATGGATGAGTGACTAAGTGGTGCCAGCAGATGGCAACGCGGCTCAAAAATGTTCATGTCTGCTGGTTGCATAAATTCCCTTTTTTAGGCTCCAACAGGACTAAGTAAACTATCAGGACAAAGTCTTATTGCTTTGTTTGAGCATGAAAGTTAAACAATTATCATCCCAGCAATGGAAAATCAGAGATTTCAATGCTGATTTTAAAGGTATGTTCATTCTATTAAACATTTTTTATTGATATTTTGTGGGAACAGATGATGTTTAAATGATTGAGAAACTGCCTGTCTTTCAAAATCACATTCACACATGTTATTGGTGTTTCATTTCTGTCACTATTCTCATTTCTTCTTCATCAGGAGAGCAAAAGGAATGAAGAACCATGTGCTTTTATTTTGAAGGCAGTACCTCTGCCTCTGAGTGAGTGTGTGTGAGTGTGTGAGCCCACAGTGAGTAGTAGCAGCACTCAGTGTGTTCACATCATGTAGACAACAGTGGAAGCATGGCTGCGCTGCAGAGAAATTCATCTGGAGAATTGAAACGGGATTAAAGAGGAATGCTGATCAATTAGAGAGGATGTAAATCTCATCAGGTGAGTTTATGCCAATATTCTGAAAATATGACACCTTAATATAAAGTTCAAATCTTTAATACACATTTGGAAATAGGGATCCTGCATGGAAAGAAAACCAGGTTGTTTTTTCATCTAAAACAGAACAGAGGATTCGGGTGATTTAATTAGTTTAAATTAAAAAAAAGGTTCTGTAATTAATCTGCCTCAATTAAACTGTTGCCTCATTAACTTTTTTGCATGGACTCTCCAGGCTCATTGATTCAAAGGGACCAAACAGGGAGCACACAGCTGCCTGGCTGCTGCTGTCACTGATCAACGCAGCAGCTGCAGCCCCAGACATCCTCTGCCTTTAACTTTCTTTCTCTAATACTGTTTGCTGCAGTAAAATAATTGTTTATAATTATTCTTTATTACTTTGACAAAACAAAACCTGAGAGGTGCAAAATGAGATACGAACTTCTGCCTCATGGGCTTTCTTTAGGAAATGTTGCTCAAGCCAGATTTACCTCAGAACGACAAAATACTTCGTCTTTCTGCACAAACATGATATGATTAATTTATCCTTCAGCCTGTAATTAAGTTTTAAAGTTGAAAACTTATCTTTTTTATTGTTTATGTGGCATTTAGGGTTTTCAACCTTAATTAGAGAATAAAAATATCAAGAAAAAGAATCAAAATCCTTTATTGTTTCTCAGGATTCCTTTCAAAATGTAGGGTTGGGTTAGAGGCTCGCGGATTTACACAAGCATGAAAATATAAGTTTAATTATTTCCTTTAAGCAGGAGGAAATCCTTTGAGATGAAATGCTGTTTTCAAAGGTCGCCCTGTCCAGGACTGACAGCAGCGCGGTTACGCATTTAGATGAATACACCTGACAGAGATACCAAGAATGAAGAAAAGAGAGCGACTGTAGAGAAAGGACACATATGCAACATTAAACTACACTACTAATACAGATGAACAGATTGATCAAAAAAGAACATTCATTTATAATAAATAGTTTATCTGTTTCACTTATTTTTTGTTTTATTCTATCATCCAAGTGCACGGAGGAAGTTTATCCCCAAATAGAAGATGAGTTTATTTCCACAGTGATGAAATAGAAAGGTTTAAATAATTGTCCCTGTGACATCACAGACGCCATGACGCTATGGCATCTCCAGCATCACTGTTACTCAGAAGGAAAAGGTTTGATTTAAATGAGGAGCAAACTTCCCTCTCCGTTCCTCCTGCTGTGACTTCAGAAGAAGAGTTTTGATTGAGATGTTTCTAAATGGCTAAAATCTCTACAAGTAAAACAAGATATCACCACCTTTTTATCCATAAAAAAAGAAAACTAAACTTCAGAATTTGTTAAAATAATGTTTTTTTTGCAGCATTTTATTATGAAAAGCGTTGAAGAACTTCATGTCTGCTGTTTTTGGACAACCTCTATAAAAGCCTTGGCTTCACTGGTTGCTGCTCTGGAGCATGAAGGTGTGTGTTGACACAATACCAAAGTTTAAAGACGTTACAATGACCTCTGAGAAGCAGCTGCTACTGCCTATCAATCTGTATGATATGTAATGCCATTTTCAAACCTTATGTCCGCTGTCCCACAGAGTGTGTTCAAAAGCGTAAAATAATTAAGAAAGCAGCTGATCTTCCCGAGAGCAGATTCACCTAAGGTCAGAGCTTTAAATGCCTCGGAAACCCTAATAAACCCACAAACACATCTCTGGTGACCCATTGTTGTTTGCAGGACCAAAGTGCAGACAGGACAGTCTAGCACATAGACGTACTGACCCGAATATAGGAAGACCCTGATTATAAGACAACTCATCTATTTCCAGGACTAATTTTTAGGAACAAAAAGACAAAAAAAAAAAGACTGATAAACTAAATATATTTTGTTTAAAGAAACTGTTTTATATTGAAGTGCTACGAATTTCATTTAAATAATATTGCATTGAAAGATTCTCTAATGCAGTCTGAACTTTGCTCATGGAACGTGTCATGGACGTTTGTGCTTTTACTCACAAACGTCCTCTCTTTCGCTGCGCTCGCTGTCACCTCTACTCTCGCCCTGCAATTTTTTTAATGAGCTTCTCTTTTGCTTTTCACATTTTTTATGCCTTTTTAAACGCAACTATCTTCTACTATTGCACTCTGTAACTCCGTATCTATTTGCAGCACTTTATTTTCATATCTTTGCAAGAGAGAACGGTTCATCATACAGCCCTTACTGCTTGGTATTCAGCCCTGTCCTGCCTGGGCAGAGTGTGTTTCCTTTACTTACAATAATGGAACGTTGTCAGGGTCAAAACAAATGACAAAAACTTTGGTTAAATAGTAACATGTTATGAAGAATCCATGAAAAAGAATTTCGCTTGTTTTGGGAAGAAGCTATGCCTGGTCTACAAACACTCTCACTCAGAGGATTGTGTGGCCTTGCATGTGAAACAGACTGAGTGAATAGGATAAATGAATATATGGAATAAGAAAAATCTAAATTTTCTGACCACAGTGGTCACTGGCTTAAAAAAAAACTGGCGCCCTCTGGGCATCTCTGCTTAGACTGCTGCCTCCGCGACCCGGCAAAAGTGAAATGGATGGATGGGTGGATGGCGGCCTTTGTTGTTGCGATTGTGTATAATTGATCAGACCCCGATTATAAGACAACCGCAGATCTTCACATTGTTTTTAATAAAAAAAAAAAAAACGTATCTTATATTCTGGCCAATACAGTGATACAGTAAAGGAAACTGAACGGAAAGCGATAGAGTACGACTTTACAATCCAGCAATAAACTAAGAGAACTAGAGAGCTTAAACTCTGGGGCAGGAGTGAAGAATGACACATGAACCAGAGGAGCTGACCAAATGGAAAGGTGGAGCAGCTGAGGTAGAATGAAGGATAGGAGGCTGTGGGAGGAGGTGAAGAGGAAGCTGCCTAAGGCACAAAGAAGGGCAAATAAAAACAAAGCTCTAAGAGCAACAATTAACACCAACAGTCACCTCCTCCTTCACCAACAGTGAAATAACTCAAGCTTGAAAGAAATCAAAGACAAAAAGTATTAACTAATATGGCAAGACCTCAATGAGCACAAAGAGACAACAAAGACTAACACCACAAACACAACAGAAACCCAAAAGCTAACACACAAGGAGCATGACATCAGCAACTGACTTCCTGCCTGAACCATCCGCTCTGCTCCACATTGACGAGGACTTGAAGCATCAAGTGTGCAAAATAGACCAGCTACAGCCAAGTAGAGTTAATTGGCCTGAATGCTTCAGAAAGCGCCACAAACATCTGCATTACGACTGTTAAGCATGGTGGTGGATAGCTGAGGGTTTAGGCTTGTCTCCTTTGCTCCAAACGGGATTTTTAACTCCTGATACACAATAGATTCCTGGCAGAAATGGAAGATTATGTCCCTGACGATTGTTTCAGATGCTAATGTAGAAGATTAGTACATAATTACATTTTGATAACAGGATTTCTGCTGTTTGGAGTTGCAGGATACCTGAAATATTATGAATAAGGAACATCCCTGGGGTTGTTCTGGACATTTTGAGGCTGCCAGGGATGTCTGAGGGAATCTGCAGAGCTATCAACTCTCAGAATTAAATGTTAATCACAAACTGGATGTGATCCTGGATGTGATCACGGAATCACAAACTGGATGTGATCCTTGCACAGGATGCAACTTTGCACAGCTTTGCACAGCTGCTAACTTTGGTTCCCGGAATCAAAGGTGAAATGGTATAATCCTGGAGAGAGTTGGGGCTTGGATCCCAGAATTGTTCTATTTGGAATCGCTAATGCCAGGGACCATTAAAAACTCAAGTTTGGGGAAAAAAAGCCAGTCTGACCCCAACAATCTGTTTCTATCTGAAATCTGGCTTTCAACTCCCCTAGATGTTATGTAAACAGGACGCTCTGGCCCCTCCCTTCCCCGAGGACATCGATGAACCTGGTCTGCTTGCGGCTGGTTAATGAACATTCATTGCATCGTACTATCAAGGACCATGTGCCTGGGAGCAATGCTAATGGACTTACTTTGCAAACACGTATGCATGCTCAGACATATTAAACATATGCACGCCTCAAACAGAGCTTCAGCGCTCTCCCTGCAAGATGTTGTGTTGTTCTGCGTCTGTGTTGCGTCTTGCTGAGGTCTTTTGCGATCTCAGACTTTATCCTGCTCTACCCATCTCTCTTTGTTTTTCCTGACTGCAAGGGCAGCGCCTTTGATGGCGGCATGGCCTCAGACACCACGTCCAGTGGTGGATAATCACTGGAAAAAAATCAAAATCTAGATAAGTCATATTTTCTCAAAATAAGTGCATTTGTTCTTGGATTGAGGAGGTAAAAGTACGGTGGCTGAGAAGTGCAAAACACATTTACAATTCAAAAACACATTAACAAATAAAAAACAAAATAACATTCGAAGAAACAAATGTATTTTTGAAAAAAGTTAAAATTTTTAATAACAAATTTACATTTTAGCAAAGAAATTTACATTTTAGGAAACAAATTCACATTTTAAACAAGTTAGATTTTAGGTGAGAGAAAGTTTCATTTTAGAGAAAAAAAAAATACATTATAGGGAAACAAATTTACATCTAAAAAAAATTGGCCGTTCGGAAACACTTGTACAAGTGCAAAGACAAAACTGCAAGTGGCAAAACACAGTTACATAGCCAAAAACAAATTAACAAAAGACGGCTACACGGAAAGGGAATGTCCCAGTGGCCGGATGTGACGTCACGATTACCCTGACTTGTAGTACAAACAGCTCAATCTGTAGTCCTCCTGCTTCACGTGAAAAGTCAGCGGCGATTTTATTATTGTGGAGCAAATTTCAGCAAATTTACACCATTTTGTTATTCGTGCGGACGGTCTCTGGAACTTTTACGGGACACGGACCAGGTGGCAGGACCACCGGAACTGCTGCAACGCAGCCACTGCCACGAATTGAGCTCGGCCCTGCTGCTTGGTTCTGCCATCTGGTCCATGTCCCGTAAAAGTTC